ATATATATATATATATATATTATTTTAGTTATATATTATATGATAATTTTTAACGATATTTATAAATGTAAATTATTCTAACAAATATTTTAATAATATTTTCTCTTTTAAAATTTAAGCTAATGAAGACATAAATCTTAAACCCTAAAAAATTAGATACTGCAATGTCTTGTGTTAATTTTCTTTTTTTAAAATATAAAAAGTCCTAATTTCATAATATAAAAATAAAAAGAAAAATTCATATTTAAAAAAGTAAAATAATTGTTGAGTTGTAAAAGGAGGGGGATAAGAGTAACAAACTTAAGGGAATGAGAGAAATCGCAGTTTTTATGCTGATAGGGTTATTCCCCCAACTAAGATCCATTTTCATCTCATTCTACTCACAGAATCCCTAACAAATTCATCTTATATATATATATTGTAGAGATTATGATATCAATTTTATCTTTCACCTTTTTCTTTTCTTGACGTGTGTTATAAAAAAAATTACCACTTAAAAGTTGAAATTTCAAGCATTTTTTTGTGTTATATAAAGGAACAAATTCAACTACATAGAATAAAATAAAGCAAGTCAATTAAAAAGAACGAACATAAAAGTAGAGCAAGTCAATGACACTATTATTTACATATATATTAGAGTTTCACAAAATAAGGGAATGAGATAAGAACAGTACTACAATATTATATATGAGCAATGAATAATAGTGTAGTATTATTAGTAGCGAAAAAATGGAGAAGACAGGAGAATTGAAAAAAAAAGATGAAAAACTCACTTGAAAATTCTTGAAACACTTGAAAAATCACTTCAAACAATCCTTCAAAATCCGATGGGTTTGGATGGGATTATTTTATGAATCTGGTATTTATAAATAACACTAAAAAGTCCTTCAAAATCCCTCTCACACAACAATCCTTTAAAATCCTTATATTTTTGAATACTTAAATTCACAATTAATATAAAATTATTGAGCGATATAATATTTAATAAAAATTACACAAATATTATTATAACCCTCCTCTATATATATTATATCATGAATTAAACATCATTGATGCAATTCATTTATAAATATCAACATCAAAACTATAATATAATATCATAATCAGAACATATATCATTTAATAAAGCATACAATCATAGATTTTTTTTTGAGTGTATCAGATATTTTTGAAAACATAAAAATCTACTCATGTATGTTAGAGAATTAGTCATGTTTATCAAAGCATGTATGTTATTAGAACATAAAATGTATTAAAAAATATGGATAATTTTTTAAGTAAACTAAAATATTTTAGCTCCCCTAAGATGGAGCAACTTGTTCAAAGAGTGCATATATCAGGAAACTTAAAACTTTAGAAAAATAATATTTCTACTCCCTTTTTTGGCATAAAAAAATAATGGGCCAAGTTAGCTAGAGTTCTCATCCAAGTTAATATTAATATTCGACCTTGCAAGAAGTTTATGGAGACAACATTTAATCTCCTCGTTTCAGGCAGGATTCGAACCCCTGACCATGTTTAAGCGTGGATCAACCCTACTGCTGAAC